AACCGGACCAGACCAGTGACAACTTCAGCCTCAGCCTCTCCGGTCAGTCTAATAGTTTTCACCAGGGGTGTCTCTCGTGCTGTCAGGTGCGGGGGTGACGTGCAGAAAAGCAGAGGAGCAGGGCTGCGTGGTGCTTGAGAGAAGTTTGGAAGTTACATTGGATTTGCTGCAGGCCTCCATCCAAACTCACCTGGATAATAATTATTATTTTTATTCCGGATCACACTGTTGTCCCCTGTTGACCTGAAATGAGCTAGGACCATGCCTTTCATTTCAGGGGGATTTTTTGGCAGCTCGCTCTGCTATTTGCTGCGAATTATCTGTTTCTGCCTGTTGATTTTGGACCCAGCTTCTGTTTCCCATGGGAGCATCCATCCATCTTCACATGGGGGCCAGATTCCCCCTCAACCCAACTCAAACTGCAGTTGGGCCACTTTGTCGGGTTTGTTTGCCCATTTGATTTGTGATGTTTTATGGTCTGAGACTTTTCTGCACCATTCATATTATTGTCATTATTTTCAGATCTCAGACTATCTGGAGTCACTGAATCTTGTTAATACTCCTGGATCTGCCTATCACTGCAACTTTCACTGTTTTTGGTTTCTGAATGATCACGTCTTCATTAATGTTTCTCATGGTTCAATTATGGGGCCTAATTGTCACACTGTTAACTCCTGTAATCACACATCAGTCATGAAAAACTCAAGAAAATGTCTGATAATAATGTTGTTACAGCTCTCAGGGATTCAGCCCAACCCTGGACCCCCCACTAATTACAGCACACCAAATGACTTTAAAAACACATCAGGACTTCATTTTCTGCATGTAAACACACGTAGCCTTCTAAGAAAACTTGATGCCTTGAAAATTCTGATCTGTTCTGGGGCAGATGTAATCTTCATCTCTGAAACCTGGCTCAACAAATATGTACTGAATAATGACCTGGCAATCAATGGATTTAACATCTACCGCTGTGATCGTCAAAAAAGGGTGAGGGGGTGGAGTCATTATTTACATTAGAGATTCTCTGGTTTCTAGTCTTGTGTCTTCTAAAACAATTCCAAACCAGTTTGATGCCTTAGCTGTAAACATCACTTTGAATTGAGGCCAGATTTTATCTGTAGTCTGTTGTTATCTTCCTCCCTCAGCAACTTCTGAGGCTCTGTCCTCCCTGATGGAATTTCTTGGTAATTTAAAATTCAAAGATATCTTTTTGGCAGGAGATTTCAACATTGACTGGGAAAAGTCGACCCCCTCTCTGTGATAAATTCAAGGAATGTTGCCTGTCTCTCAATCTTCCCCAACTGATCAACTCTCCGCCTAGACCAAACAAAAATCGTCCTGAAAAATCCTCCATCTTAGACCTGTTTATAACAAATATGCCTCACAAATTCCCTGGTACAGGTGTATTCGCTGACATTTTGAGTGATCACCGTGTGACAGTGACTCTCAGAGATATTAAACTTCTACCTTCTAAGCCCAGATTAAAAAAAGGGATCTGAAACGTTTTTGTGAACAGTCATTCCTCTGGGATCTGTCTCACTTTGACTGGCATTGTATTCTATTAATAGATGACGTGAACTCCGCTTGGAACTATTTTCATAATAGCTTCATTTATTTTGTGAACAAATATGCTCCTTTTCGTCAGTTCAGAATAAAAGGACAAGACATACTACTCGGTCCGGTAGAAGCGAACTCCAACGCGGTTCGAGTACAGTGTGACTGTAAACAGACCGGACCCCGCTCTGCAGGACAAACAAACATGCATTTCTCTGACCTTATATGGAGCCGTCAGCTGCTTTGTGTGAAAAACAATATTCTCCATGGTCTTCTGTCTCATCTTCTGCTCATGCCAAGTCCATTTTTGAAAAATGACAAAATATAACTCCCAAAACCGCTAAAACTTGATGCCACTTCATTTTTATTTTTATTTACAGAAGAAGAAGAAGACGTGTCTTCTGAGGTTTTTGTGTCGTTTCTTTCAGTAGTTCTTGGTGCAGCGCCCCCACAGGCGAGCGGGGGAACAGGTTGGTTCAACAGGTTCACTCGACTGCACAGTGCAGTGTGAATGCAAACGCACCAGCTCAAATGTAAACAAAAGGTCATGAATATTGGTCCCGAACCGAGTCTACCGGACTATCTGGTGTGAAAACGACCTTAATAACCAAACTTCTACAAATCAAATCCCTCCTACAAGTCAATCCTCAGTTAATCACAACTTCTCTTTTTCTCCATTCTCAGTCAGTGAGGTTAATAAACTGTTAAAAGATCTTGATCCTAAAAAATCTGCAGGTCCAGATGAACTTCCAACTTATTTCTTAAGGCTGGCTGCTCATATCATCACAGTCCCTGTGACCCACATCCTCAATCTCTCAATAAGACAAAACTCCATTCCAGACACTTGGAAAACAGCCTTTGTTCTTCCTTTGCTTAAGGGAGGTGACCCCACCTCACTGAACAACTATTGACCAATCTCTAAACTCTGCATTTTAGCCAAGGTTCTAGAAAAACTGATAAACTCTCAAATCAAAAATAACTGGCTGTGATTATCGTACCCACCACTGCACCCTGTATTCACTGGTTAACTGGACATCATTAACTTCACGCAGACTCTCTCACTGGTACATTTTCATCTTTAAATCACTTCTTGGTCTGCTGCCTTCATACATCTCCTCCTACATGTCTCTGTGTGAGTGCAGCTACAGCGTGCGCTCTCAGGACATTATTACCTGCAGTGTTCCCTCAGTGAGGACTGAACTAGGCAAAAGGGCCTTCTCCTACTCCGCTCCTGTTTCCTGGAATATCTTACAAAAAGATCTGAAGCTCTCGACCTTGACCTCTATAAGTGGCTTTAAGAATCTGTTGGACTCCTGGCAGGGACCAATGCAGACATGTTCATGTTATTAGTTTTCTACATTCGCCTTAGAGTCTGTTTTTTGTTACTTTTCTTTTCTTTTTACTTTTTTTTTTTTTAGCCATCCTATTTGTTATAAAAAAAAATATATTGTATGACTTTTTATAACTGTTTATTGTTGTCGCTGTTGTCCATTGTTGTCATCTTTCTTTGTTGAAATCAGGTCTCTCTTGTAAATGAGTCCTTGAGGCTCTAAGGGATTTACCTGTCTAAATAAAGGTTGAATGAATGAATATGATTCAGCTGTGTGGCATCAGAGACACATCTAAAAGCTGCAGGACTCCGTCCATCGAGGCCCAGAGTTTGACACCCCTGCTGTAGGGTATTAAAAGCAGAATTAAAATCTATAACCAGAAGACGGGCATGGGCCTTTGGGTTTTCAAGATGTTTAAGAGTTAGGTGTATGATGCAATTAAAGGCGTCATCTGTACCCGTCCCCGTCTATAATCCCCCTTTTCCACTACTCCTCTTGAGCCCAATTTGGATCAGTTCGCTACGGTTTGAATGCTTTTCCACTGTCATTTTTTAGTCATTGTCATTTTTTAGGAGTTCCTTAAGGCTCTGGATGTTGTAGGGTTATGTTGGCTTACGCGACTCTGCAATATTGCGTGGACATCGGGGGAAGTTCTCCTGGATTGGCAGACCGGGGTGGTGGTCCCCCTATTCAAAAAGAGGTGGCCGTTTTGGTGGCCTTAGGATTGCATCTCTGCTTTTTGCAGATGATCTAGTCCTATTGGCTTCATCAGATCGTGATCTACAGCTTTCGCTGGAGCGGTTCGCAGCCGAGTGTGACACGGCCGGGATAAAGGTCAGTTCCTCCAAATCCGAGGCCATGGTCTTGAGCCGGAAAAGGGTAGAATGCCCTCTCCGGGTCAGGGAGGAGGTCCTGCCCCAAGTGGAGGAGTTCAAGTATCTTGGGGTCTTGTTCACGAATGAGGGAAAAATGTAACATGAGATCGATAGGCGGATAGGTGCAGCATCTGCAGTGAAGCGGGCGCTGTACAGGTCTGTCGTGGTGAAGAGAGAGCTGAGTCAAAAGGCGAAGCTCTCAATTTACCAATCGATCTACGTTCCTACCCTCATCTATAGTCATGAGCTTTGGGTTGTGACCGAAAGAACAAGATCTCGGATACAAGCGGCTGAAATTAGTTTTCTCCACAGGGTGTCTGGGCTCTCCCTTTAAACATATTTTCATCCATCCATCCATTTTCTTCCGCTTATCCGGGGTCAGGTCGCGGAGGTAGCAGCCTAAGTAGGGAGGCCCAGACTTCCCTCTCCCCAGCCACTTGGTCCAGCTCCTCCAGGGTAATCCCGAGGCGTTCCCAGGCCAGCCGAGAAATATAGTCCCTCCAGCGTGTCCTGGGTCTTCCTCTGGGTCTCCTCCCGGTGGGACGTGTCCGGAACACCTCACCTGAGAGGCGTCCAGGAGGCATCCTAACCAGATGCCCGAGCCACCTCAACTGGCTCCTCTCGATGTGGAGAAGCAGCGGCTCTACTCTGAGTTCCTCCCGGATGATCGAGCTTCTCACCCTATCTCTAAGTTAGAAAACACTCACCAACATCATCATTGATTCCAGCAAAGGTTTAGCATAGCAACCCGGCATTGCTTCGGTGTTCGCTGTTAGCAGTGAGAAGCCATCAGCTCCGACACCTCTTTAAACACTTATTCATTTCGAGTCGCTCAATCAGCTCACTCTGAATTTTTTTGTTGGCCACCAAGCACAAAAAACACCTGCAATTCAGCATTAGACCACGGTGTTGTCATTATTGTTTCTAAAATATGCAAAATAGGTCCAGTCGCTCCTCCAAGTTCAAGTTATTGCAAACGGCAGATCGGGATGTTGTGAAAGTTTCTTAAACAAACAGTGACTCCACCCCCTGACCAATCAGTGACCGACAGTGTTCTGACATCACGTTTTAAGGCCAGCACGGTGCAAATGGAACCACAGATAAATTGGTTCTAAACTGGACTGGGACTGGTTCCACAAATAATTGCTACTTGTAAAAGACTTGGAACTATACTGAAACAAGTCCAACTGTGCCGAAGAGGTGCTATGGAAAAGGGGCATTTATTTCCATTTTGTACCTTTAGTATCTTTGGTCTCCTGGGTTTTGAAGCGCTGTTGCAGCTTGCGTGAATGATTGCTGAGGATCTTCACCGGCTGACTGAGGATCTTGTACTTGGCTTTCAGAGCAGCGTTAAAGCTGTCCACCACAATGTTGAGCTGATCGTACGTCACACGCCCTTTCATGTACCTAATGAACACGCACGCACGCACACACACCCACGCGCACACACACACAAACACACGCGTGCACACACACGCGCACACACACACCTATTATGGAAGGAAACTGTTTCAAACAGGTTTGTTAAATCATGTCAGCTACTATTTACTGGTAGCTGTTTCTATGCTAATTTGAGCTTTTTCAGCTAATTCCACAGTTTTTGCACTCATTTCAACTTTTTTCAGCCTAATTCAACAGAAATATGCTCTCTCGACTTCCTTATGATAATTTAAGCTTCTTTCTGCTTTTTAAGCTACTTTTCAGCTGCTTTTTTTTGTTGCTAATTTTGTTGATTTTTCAGACAATTTCCACCTTTTTATGCTAACTTCTGCTTCTTTCAGCAAACATATTCTTTCTGCTTTCTTCTGCTAATTTAAGCTTGTTCTACCTTTTCAGCTACATTTTTAGCTACTTTCAGCTGTTTTCAGATAATTTCCACATTTTGTGCTCATTTCTGCTTCTTTCAGCAAGCATGCTCTTTCTGCGGTCTTCTACCAATTTAAGCTTGTTCTACCTTTTCAGCATTTTTTAGCTTATTTCAGCCGTATTTAGCTAAATTCATGTTTTTCAAGGTAATTTCTGCTACTTTCAGCCTAATTAACTTTTTAATGCCATATTTCTTCTTGTTATGCTCCTTTCAGCCTTTTCTGCTATTTCAGCTACTATTTAGCTGTTTTTGTGCTAATTTTAGCTTTTACAGATAATTCTAAATTTTTTTCACTCATTTAAACTTTTTTCAGTCTAATTCAGCAAAAATGTGCTCTCTCCACTTCCTTTTGTTAACTTAAGCTTCTTTCTGCCTTTTCAGCTATTTTTGTTGTTGTTGATTTCAGCCTTTATATTAAGCTGACTTCATATTTTTTGTGCTGATTTCTGCTTGTTTAAACCTAATTCAGCAAATATGTGTTCTTTCTGTTTTCTTTTGCAAATTTTGACTTGTTCTTCCATTTCAGCTAAAATTCAGCACATTTTTAGCCAATTTCAGCTATTTTTCAGAAATAAGCATTCACACTGCATTTTCACAGAAAATGCAATTTCTCTAGTTTTAATGACTAAGTTTTAGTTTGTAACTTGTATTTGTGTACGATCAGATCTACTGTATGATGTTAATGAACTTCCAGGTTCAGTAAAAGTCAAGGAAATATTTTCTTGGATGAACTTACTGAGGGATGCTTTCAAACTCTGGGACGGTGACATATTCCATGTCTCTGACAGAGTTCCTGCTGGTCTGCTTGATGTTCTCTGCCTGGTCTTGTTGAACATCTGCTGCCTGCTTATGGTTAATCCCACCTTCATTTCCACTGGAACACAAGGAACACTCAGTCATCCACAGCTGTGTAGAAAGGTCCCTGCACTGTGTCAAAGTCTAATTCAAGCACTTTTAATGTGGATCCTCAAGACGTTCCAGCACCTCACATTTACACACACCTTCACACTAAAAACATGAATGAAGTCGAGCAGCCAGATGGTTGGCTTTTAGTTGGTCTATGCTGAGCTCTGTGGCCATCATTTTATTGGTCCGGTTCTTCTTGGACTGCTTTTCTATTTTAACTTTAGTGGTGCCTAAACGCACAAGACGTTTCTAATTCAGTTCTATCAGCATAGTGTGAAGTGGACGGCTGCTCACAGCTGTGCTTCTACCTCACCTTGAAGCACAAAGGTGAATGGAAGTCACACCATGCCCATTCACAAACCACACCAAGGTGAGCACAAAGCACCATAAGTCAATTCAGCTCAATTCAGTTTATTTATAAAGCACCAAATTACAACAAAGTTGTCTCAGGCACTTTACAGGAACATTCACATAAAAGCCAGTTAGTAAAGTTCTTTATCTAAGAATCCAGCAGACAAGTTGAATCTTGGCTTCGTTGCAGACTCCCATCCTGAGCAAGCACAGTGGAGACAGTGGAAAGAAAAACTCCCTTTAACAGGAAGAAACCTCCAGCAGAACCATCCTGTCCTGGCTTCAAGTGTTTTATGTCAGATTAGACCAGTGCTTCTCAATTATTTACTGTTACGCCCCCCCAGCAAGAAGTAAACATTTTGCGCCGCCGCGACTGTAAATAGTACAATTTTTCTATAAAATTGTTAAAAGTACACCTCTACATAACATTGTATCCTTATTAACATTAAACTGAAAAAAGATAGAAATATAGATCACACTGATGGGGGAAGTCTGGACCTCCACACTTAGGCTGCTACCCCCATGGATGGATGGAAGTAAACACACGATTCAGTAACTATTTTAGAGTCAATGGCACAACAAGAAGTAACGTGACCAACAGCTGATTCAATGAATTAAAAATATTATATATTCAAAGGTGATGATTTGATGCCCACATTAAAACTAAATGCCTGTAACTTAGTTGACTTCAAAAGAAATAAGATTATCAATGAATGTTTGTGACAAAGGATTTACTGAGTATAACAAAGATTCCTTCAAGAAACCTCCTAATTTAAATCATAAAACCAGAATGATTTCTGTTCATTCTAAATCTGTCAATGGTCTAAATCTTCTAAAGTGAAGGAGAATAATTTTAAATAATAAATAAGATATATCCTGTAGCCATGTTTCTGCAAAGAAGGTTTATATTTGAGGTTGATTTTTGTGCCTTTTGTAAATCACAAGATGAATCCCTGGAGTATTTTTTTTTCATGTCTGTACAAAGTGTTTGGTCAGACATCAGAAACTGGATTCATCTCAAACTTAACATTCCTTCTTTTGATGCTGATGACATTTTATTTTATGTGGATAACTTAAGCTCAGTATTCTCTTATGCCATAAATATAGTCGTACTTATAACAAAGTACCACATTCACTGTAGTAAGAGGAGGGATAATAAGCCCTCCTTCCTGTTTGATGAACAATTTGAAGTCATACCATTCTTCATTAAGTAGATTAAAATCTGCAAAACTGCTAGAATCATCTCA